CGTAAGGAGTACAGAGATCGTCGTATGCGTGAAGATTTAGAGCGCTATCGTCAGGAGAGGTGTGTTATTTTTATGATTTCTTTAAAAATTGTTTGTTAATTGTAATTGTTCACATTTTACAGGCCAAAAATTCAACAACAGTTCTCCGATCTTAAACGCTCGCTGGCCAACGTCACCGCCGAGGAATGGTCAACTATACCTGAAGTGGGTGACAGTCGCAATCGCAAGCAGCGTAATCCACGTGCAGAGAAATTCACACCGCTTCCTGACAGCGTGCTGGCGCGTAATCTCGGTGGTGAAGCTACTTCGACAATCGATCCTTCATCTGGGCTTGCCTCAATGGTACCTGGTGTAGCCACGCCTGGCATGCTTACACCAACCGGCGATTTGGATTTACGCAAGATTGGCCAGGCGCGTAACACGCTCATGAATGTTAAGCTTTCGCAGGTTTCTGACTCTGTAACCGGTCAAACTGTTGTTGATCCGAAGGGCTATCTGACTGACCTGCAAAGCATGATACCCACTTACGGCGGTGACATAAATGATATCAAGAAAGCACGCCTCTTATTGAAAAGTGTTCGTGAAACGAACCCTAACCATCCACCTGCTTGGATTGCATCAGCACGTTTGGAAGAAGTAACTGGCAAAGTGCAAATGGCACGTAATCTTATAATGCGTGGTTGTGAGATCAATCCCCAATCGGAGGACTTGTGGTTAGAAGCAGCGCGTTTGCAGCCGCCAGACACAGCTAAGGCTGTGATTGCACAGGCAGCGCGTCACATTCCTACTTCGGTGCGTATTTGGATAAAGGCTGCTGATTTGGAAACGGAGACAAAAGCAAAACGGCGCGTTTTTCGCAAAGCGCTCGAACACATTCCCAACTCGGTGCGGCTTTGGAAGGCTGCTGTCGAATTAGAGAATCCTGATGATGCGCGTATTTTACTCTCGCGTGCTGTCGAGTGTTGCAACACTAGCGTGGAGTTGTGGCTGGCGTTGACACGTCTAGAAACCTATGAAAATGCACGTAAGGTACTGAATAAGGCGCGTGAGAATATACCAACGGATAGACAAATTTGGACAACTGCTGCAAAGCTGGAAGAAGCAAATGGAAATATACACATGGTTGAGAAAATTATCGATCGTTCATTGGCATCACTTACCGCAAATGGTGTGGAGATCAACCGCGAACAATGGTTCCAGGAGGCCATTGAAGCGGAGAAATCTGGCGCGGTGCACTGCTGCCAGGCCATAGTAAAATCTGTAATTGGTGTAAGCGTGGAGGAGGAGGATCGCAAACAAACATGGATTGATGACGCTGAGTTCGTGAGTGTCATGGTTTAAAAGTTTTTTGGTTAAATGCTTATTGCATTTTTTGATAAATTTTTAATGTATATAATTTTCCTTTTTTTCAACAGTGCGCAAAGGAGAATGCATTCGAGTGCGCTCGCGCTGTCTATGCGCACGCGCTGCAGGTGTTCCCCTCAAAGAAGAGTATTTGGTTGCGTGCAGCCTACTTCGAGAAAAGTCATGGCACGCGCGAATCTCTGGAGGCGCTGCTTCAACGCGCCGTAGCACATTGTCCTAAATCTGAGGTGCTCTGGCTAATGGGTGCCAAATCCAAGTGGATGGCTGGTGATGTTCCCGCTGCGCGTGGCATACTCTCGTTAGCTTTTCAAGCTAATCCTAACTCTGAAGACATTTGGTTGGCTGCTGTCAAACTGGAGTCAGAGAATGCAGAATACGAGCGTGCACGCCGTTTGCTAGCTAAAGCACGTTCATCGGCGCCTACACCACGTGTTATGATGAAATCTGCACGCCTAGAATGGGCGCTCGACAATTTGGGAGATGCTTTGCGCCTGCTTGATGAGGCTGTAAAGGTATTCCCTGACTTTCCTAAACTATGGATGATGAAAGGACAAATCGAAGAACAAAAAAATCATTTGGATGAAGCGGCCGAAACCTACACTCATGGTATTAAAAAGTGTCCAACATCTATACCGTTGTGAGCTCTTTCTGCTAAGCTTGAAGAACGCAAGGGCACACTTACTAAGGCGCGTTCAATACTAGTATATAGTAAATAATTTTTTAATTTTTTATTAAAAATAAACTTTTTTAAATTGTTGATAGGTTAAAATCGATCCCGATCTAGGCGATGCTTGGGCATATTTTTACAAATTCCAGATGCTGCATGGTACGGAAGAGCAACAGAAGGAAGTCTTAGAGCGTTGTGTAACAGCTGAGCCGAAGCATGACGAGGCCTGGTGCAGAGTGAGCAAACATATTAAAAATTGGTGCTTCAAGACACCAGAAATATTGAATGGCGTGGTTAAACAATTATCAATACCAGTATAAATTTTAATTTAAGAACTTGAAACTTTTAGAGTTTATTCATTAAATCCATACGATGAAATTAAAAAGTGTATTCACAAATGCAAAAGTAATACAAAAATAATTAGTATAAAATTAATGCATTGAATATTAAAAGCGACTAGTCACTACATC